GAAGATGTAGGACTCCTCTGTGCTGGTATCAGGATGGTGAGTCAGTAATTGTAGGACCGGAGCTGATCCTACAAACTACTGAAAAGGTGAAGATGATTCAGGAGAAAATGAGGACTACTCAGAGTAGGCAAAAATCATATGCTGACAAAAGGCGTAAGCCTTTGGAGTTTGTTGAGGGGGAACATGTGTTTTTGAAGGTGACTTCGACTTCTAGTGTGGGTAGAGCGCTGAAGGCTCGGAAGTTAACACCAAGATTTGTGGGTCCCTATCAGATCGTACACCGGGTAGGTCCAGTTGCTTATCGGTTGGCTTTGCCACCGTCCCTTTCAAATCTGCACGATGTTTCATGTTTCCCAGCTGAGAAAGTACGTCCATGACCCGAGTCATGTGGTGGAGCTAGATGATGTACAGGTGAAGGAGAATTTGACGTATGAGAAGTTGCTAGTAGCTGTGGTTGATCATAAGCTAAAGGAGTTGAGAGGCAAGTCCATTGCCCTGGTAAAGGTGTTGTGGGATGCAGCTACCGATGAGGCTACTTGGGAGGTGGAGCAGCGGTGCCGGGAGCAGTATCCGTTTCTTTTCCCAAGTAAGTCTGTTTTCGGGGACGAAAACTCTTGTTGTTGGGGAGGTTGTGAGACCCGTGGCTGGTATATACACACTTCCCCTCCCAACTCTCACTAGAAAAAATTATCTTCCCCTCTTAAGGCTCTCACTTCTCCTTTTCTTCCTCTTACTTGTGGTGATATTTGGCAGCTGAAGGTGCTGATCAAGCGTAGGCAAGGGCTAATTGAAGATTTCCTCCTTTCTTCATTCAAGTTTCTCTTCTTCTCCAATCTCCGCAGACCCGAAACTCGGATTTTCTTCAAAACTGAGGTAAGGGAAGTTAGTATTTTGGCTGCGTTTTTGATTGGAAAATGGGTGTAGGAATTCATCTGGCTGCTGGTATTTGATTGAGTTTTGGCTGGGTTGCTGGAAAAATTGGGGGTTTTGGGGTTTTATGGTTTGGAGTAAAAATTTGGGATTTCTTTGATCTGTTGTTGCATGCGTATAAAGCTGGAACTTTCGAGCTCCTTGATGAAAATGTAGCATTTTGAACCGTTTGCATGTGAGTTTGCTGTGAAATTTTGCAGGTTTTGGGAATTTTTCGAACTTGGGAGAGTTACTGATGAGTTCGCGCTGGGCGTTGTTCTTCGCGCCGGGCGCGCGACCACCAGGAGACTCTGTTTAGGCAAGTCCGTCGGGCGCAAGGCTGTGTGCGCTGGGCGAGCTTGTAAATGGGAGTCTCTAGTTGGCCCGCGCCGGGCGTGGCTCGAGCTACGCTGGGCGCGATATCAAGAGTAACATATTTTTTGGGATACTTGGGTCGCGCTAGGCGCACCTTAAACTCGCTGGGCGCGGAGGCTCCTTGAGAGTCTCTGCCAAGAGCACGCCAGGCGTAATTGCGAATTGCGCTGGGTGCGAGACCTTGGTAGGTCTCTGCCTTCCCCATGCTGGGCGCGGGTTAGGCCCCGCTGAGCGCACGAGACTCCTTGAGTCTCTGCCAGGCAGGCGCTGGGCGCAATTTGGAATTGCGCCAGGCGCGGGAGAGCCTTGGTGCTCTCGGGTTGAGTCGCGCTGGGCGCAACCTCGAGTGCGCCGGGCGCGCAAGGAGATGATGATCTATATGATGTTGGCTGTAATCAATGATGTTATATGTTGAACCAAGTTGAATTTGATGAATATGCTGTGATAACTAGGGGATAAAGCTGAGATATATATATATATATGTTAGTTGTATTAGAGGTGTATTGTTGAGCTGGAATCAATGGATTAATAAGAGAAATTATATAGTATAGCGGAATTATAGACTGTTGGGCTGAATTGTAGAAAATAATAATTTTGTTGAATGGCTGTGCTGTGTTATGCTGTGTCGTGCTGTGCTGTGTCGTGCTGTGCTGAGCTATGCTGGATTGGGTGATATTATAGCCGCTAAGTCGGTGCTGTTGTTAGCCACACATGTGGTGCTGATTCTAACCGCTAAGGCGGTGCTGTTGTTGCCGCTGCGCGGTGCCGTCATAGCCACTTGAGTGGTGCTGTTGTTGCTGCTTAGCAGTGCTGATATTGCCGTATTGCGGTGCTGATATCGTTGAGTGGTGTAAGCTGTACAAGTGTGTGATAACTGTATCTGTGGTTATTCATATTGATATTCATATAATTGTATGTTGAATTTTAATTTCACTAGCTTACCCTTTTGCTATTTTCCATGTTATTGGACTGCGATGATCATACTATGTATGGGAGCAGGGCAAGAATAGGTGGGCGTCTTGCAGTGAGTCTCCGGCGGACCTTGCAGCTGTTTTGCTTGTGTGGTTGTTTTGCTTGTAGCTACTTGGGATAGTGTAGCATTTGGTTGTAAACTTCTTTGGTACACTTTAACTCTAGTCAGACTGGAACTTGGTATATTTATATATTCTAGATCCTATATTTATATACTTGTTCTATCTGTCTGGTGTTTCTAGTGTGCTATGCCGTGTGTAGTGACCAGCCGGGTCGTTACAATATTAAAAAAAATGGTAATTGCATGTAAAAAAAAACAGTTATCCATTATATTTTGTAAAAACAAATAATAAATAAAAACCTTTCTCCACCATATTCCATGTTGGCATTTGCCTTGTTTTGGTTTTCAAAGGTACATATTGAATTGTACTAGACACAACCGATATTTTGAATTTTGAATTTTGATGTTTTTGAGCTATTCTTTTAATCAAAGTTTGCAAAATTAGATCAAGTAAATCCGTAAAACAATTAAAATTGTAAGATTGGATCAACATTTATGATGTAGAAATTTGGTGGAGTAAATATTCCTCTCCAAAAATAATATAATTAATGGTTTGTTTGATATAGAGGAGACAGTAAAAGGAAAAGAAGTAGAATAAAAGACACGGGAAGGGGAAAAAAATGAGAGGGTAAGATTATTTTTTTGAATTATTTAGTTAGAGAAAAAAAAATGAATGGAAATAAAGTTTTAAATGTGTAACAAATAAGAAAAATGTACTAAAATGACATAAATATTGTAAAAAAGAACCATAATAGAAAGACTGTCATTTTTGTCATTTTTATAACAACTTCATTCCACTTTTATGTCTCAAATTTGGGCAGATACAAATTTGTGGCAAGTCTCTTTCTTCCTTTGTTGTTACAACAACCACATGAGGGAAAGAAACAAAATTGATAAGTTTTCTTTCCCTTTTTGTTTCCTCCCTTTTCAACTCAAGCAAATGATCCATGTGTTTTAGCTACTACAATGTCATTGATAATCAAATGATACTTAAGTATTTTGGTTATTGCACTGTTAGGATTGTGGTAAATTGAGGTTATTTTATTGAATCATACCCAGGTAGTATTCAAAGGAGACAATCTTGTTCACGGGAATTTTCAAAATATTTAATACAATTGAATACTTAAAATTTAAATTTAAAACTACTTGTTAAATTAGAATAATCTATACTAATTAATCTATGCACTTGATTGATTATGACATTAAATGTTAGTATAAAAAGTCCAAGAATACAAAATATACGAAAGTCAGTAAGTTTGATAGAATGTCGGAAATAGAAAGTTTGAGTCACAATTATTGAGAAAGAAAATTAAACGTTATTTATTATAAGCAAAAACAAAAAAATTATTTTTTATCTTAAATATAAGCAAATTTTAACTATTTTTTACCTTATGTATGATCTTTTAATTACATTACTTTTTAAAACATTTATAATAAATATAATTTAGAAAAAAAATATTATGAAAATAATAAAATTTAATACAATTAATTAATTTTCTCGTGTGGAATCAGTTTTTGTTTCTTATAATAGAGAATACAGATAATAACATTTAAGATAGTATAGCCACCGAAATTTTTTTTATAAAAATTTACAGGAAAATGAAATGGAACTGAAGTTGATAGAATATTATTCATTTCATCCATACATTTCAAAAACATATTTTTCTTCCTCTAATTTAGAGCAGAGCGTGTTTTGGGCCAATTCCCAGATAGGTAATAGGTTCAAATTATTGGATAAACATTAGGGTAATGATATATATATACTTTATATATATATATATATATATATGTTGGTATGTATGTATGTATAAGTACACCTCTTTTATTTTATTTTTAAAAATTTTTAATTTTACATCTTTAACTTTTAATTTACTATTTTTTTCTTTTCACACACCTCCTTTCTTCTCTTTTTCAGTTTTTACATGCATAATCTTGTCTTTCTCTAATTCTTCACCTATTTTAATGGATAGTTTTAGTTCTCTTGATTCTTATATTACTCTATTATTTTCTCACCTCTTTCACTTTTTCACATGCACCAAAATCATAGAACTGGTAGAGGACATTATTTGTACGTGTAATTTCCTCGATAGTTTCTATCAAATTATACACAAATTTTTTCTTCTAACACTTCATTTCCTTTCACCCTTTCAAAAACTTTAACATTAAGTTTAGTGTTATGAAAAAAATATTTTCACTATTTTAGAATATTATGCGGAAGTGAAATCAGTGAGAAAAATGAAAGAAAAAAGGAAAAAAAATAATGTAAAACTAAAAAAATTAAAATACCTATCAAAATAAGTAGGGGTGAAGAAAAATTAAAGAGATATATGTAAAAATAAGGAAAAGTGATATATAAAAAAAGTGTTAAATTAAATGTTAAGAGTATAAAATTAAAAAATTAAAAGTCATAAAAATTAAGAATATTTTAAGAATTTAATTTTTTTTAAAAAGAAGAGTGTACTTATAAAATAAGGAAGTGTATATATCATGATGCTAAATATTATTAGCCCACCAAACAAAAAGCTTAACCAAAACACTTGAACCATTGACCCAAAAAACAAAACACTTGAACCATATACTAGCAAAACAAAATAACAGAATCATCTCAAATAGTTGATGAATCGTATCTTATTTATCAATGCATTTCGAAGATCATTCTCGTGTAAGACTAAGAACGCAAAAGTTGTTCCTCCAAACCGTATGAAAAACTTTACTTTCCTCAGATTCAGGCAAAATTGCAAAATATTGTGGAATATCCTCGTAAAACAATGATACAGCAGCAAAAACCCTATCTAAATGTTACAACAGTTCTCACAGGGATACCGGCATAAACTCATCAAACGGGTAAACCCTGGTCGTTCTATATATGAAATCAAATATCTAACAGCAACGACCTAGGTGCACCATCTCAATGGCACATGTGACACATTAGTCAAAACAATTACACATACATACACGTGGCATTCTTCTATGTGGTTGTAAGGAAGTGGAGTTCTAAGTTTTCAGTGCCTGTGAGAGTGCTTCCGGCTGCTATAAGTAACCTCTTTCTTTTCGCCGTTCAATCTACGCGACATCCTTAAAGCGAAGGAAATGCCCCCCACAGCACCCATAGCATAAAACGCTCTGTACGGAGCCAAAGTCAGAGCAGAAAAATAGGACCAGTATCCAGCTATGAGATAGATGAAATATAGCCTAACGTTGCGGATGGGGATCCCAGTATAGGACAATAAGAAAGAATTGAACTCAGGCTTCGAGTTGCAGATTCCATGAAGTATGACGCCAATGCAAAGCACTGAATCCAGAAGCCATGGAAGGCTCTCACCCAACGCCAGTCTCTGCAAAATTAAAAAGGAGAGAATTCCAGCATAAAGACAAATCTATATAATAAATGCAATCATAAATAGTATATATTCTTTCCATAAGTAATCTAGTAAATTGCCATGAACTACGCTTCTAACTGATGTAAAATTTAAAAAAAAAAAAAAAAAAAAAAGGAGCATGGATTTTTCACACTGATTTATTTCTTGCCCATACCCAAAAATGATAAGAACAAGCCAACAAGGTGCACATTTAACAGAACATAATTCAGTTTTTTCAAAATGAAAAGGGGCCTAAGGAGGAAAGAAAAAGAAAAAAGGAAAGAGGAAAGAATCCACTGAAACATTTTTGTAAGTGTTGATATCCAAGTATCTTACAAAGAAGGGAGAAACAAAATCAAATGTAAAATTAGGGGTCAGATTTTGTAAGCGCACATCTCTCCCCTAGTCTTCACCAGGAAACTAAGGTTATGTTGTGGGAATTCAATCAACCACATTCCCTTTTCCCATTTAGAATGGTGAAATAAATATGTTTAGAATGTTATGACAATAATTGACATATATCTGGTACCTGAAACCAAGCTACAACAGATGGGGCAAACATCATTGTTGCAACAAGATGCAATATCAATAAGCCATGGCGATGGTGAAATAAATCTAATTGTGTGTCACCAAAACTTTTTGATGAGTCTGGACTGTTGGATAAGTTTTCTTCTGAAGGGAAAGTCCGGTTAAAACTACCATCAAATTTGAACTTCATCCGTTCAGAAACTTTGTAGTCTTCATCGTTGCATTCAAAATTTTCATTATTTTGTCCATTGCTGCGACATGATGCTGTCAGGAAACTGCTACAAAAAGAAAAAGAAAAATCAGTCTCACAAAATTGTCAAACATGTTAACACAATGAATTGTGAAAGATATCTTCCCTATCACTTCATCCCAGAGCTTTCACTTGTATTAAATCTTACTTTACAAGTAAGTCAACATCACCGGTGTATAAATGATTATCTCAATGACTCATTATTTCAGTTTCCCATTTATCGTTGCTGTTAGAAAATCTGAGAAATATTTGATGATATCATTTTTATATCTTAGAATATTTTAGAACACCCTATCCTACTGATTATTGGGCCTATCGGGTCACCACTACTAGGCTGTTATCAAATCACGCACAAATGTCTAGTTTAGTAAACTTCATATTTGAGTTGTTCAATTCTCAGTGTGAAAGATGTGATGGAAATCTCCCATTTACTAGTAATAATGTAATATAATTGAAGTGATATATATAAATGAGGGACAACTCTCACCCGTTACCTCAAACTGATTTTATAGAGTTGAATTAGACCTTAAATCCAAATTTTAGGAGTTGCAATCAAATAGCATCTTCTCTCACACGATATTTTCCCAAAACCATTGTTTTTTGTATTTATTTCTTACAATCCTGTTAATCATAGATCAAAATCAAGAATATATATATATATATATATAGTTACATGATTTCTCTTTTTAATAATAACTATAACATCTGCTTTAGCCTCTTTTAATAAGCCTGGGAAGCCTCATTAGTACTTGTGAAGTCAATCCTGCCACAAATCTGCCAACACCTTTACTTTCAAATTCTAGGTAAAAATACAGTTTAGGAATATGAAATTAGGAACCACTCAACTAGGCAATGACCAAAGCAGTGGGCTACTGAGCCAACTTGATGTGTTGCAATAAGAATCATCTCCGAAGAGCGTAGCTTAGGGCCATTGGGTGGTCAACTTATTGAGGATTTTTTACTTCAGCCTATCAAGAGTTGTAAGTTGTAACATAATATTTCACTAGTGGAGCATTTTATTTCTTAATTCCTTCTAAATTTCTAATGATCATGGACATATGGGCAACTGGTTTCAGTAGCAGGTAACATGATTACATCTAATTTCACATTTTCTATAAAGGATGTTAAATTAGCTTATATCTGTCAGTTGCATGCAAGATATACTGATAGACATTTGAAAGTATAAGGAAAATATCAAATAATCAAAAGTGATTACATCCTTTGCAGTAACTAACAACTAAAAAGAAATGCAATAAATGTAGATAAATATACCTGCATAATGCATTGTGACAACAGAAAAAGTGAGAGAAGAGAAGTATGAGGAGGCCAAAGGTTGGATGAATTAAGCTTGCCAAGACCATTGCAGTAAGTGCCATAACAAGTACTGGATTTGCTCTTAGAACCCTTACCACCTGTTTTAATATAAGTACCAAGATTCAAAGGTCAATGTGCTGAACTTGAAGTACAAAAGAGAAAACAGAAGGTCACAAAATCTACTACTAGCATAAGCACCCTCGTCTGTTTTCCACCTCTATTATACTATCCCTTCACCCGTAGAAATAAGTAAATAAAAACCAACTACACTCAATCTGTCAATGACCTAGACATATAAGGTTGTACTTTACCTTTAGAGAAAAGAAGCTAGACGAACGATTAACAAGCCAACGAATAAGGAAAAAGCAAACATTCTGTTCCCACATTTGCCACCTGCAATATATTTATCCATGTTATTTATCATTAAAAACGAAGCAATGTGATTAGCATTCCATTTATTGATTAGCAAACCTAAAAAATTATACTGTTAGAGACGAGAATAAATCTAGATGTTCACAGGAAATGTTATTCACTAAGCCAAATTCCTATTAGCAGGCATATAAGTGGCAAAATTTAGTGAAGTCGTATCAATCAATCTACTAACCTTGTCTTGATGAAAATATGTGTAACAGCAGCCACAAAGAATACCAAGTGAGAAATCAAAATTAGAATAGCTACAAATCCGTTTGCAAAGATATAACAAATTAGAGAGATGCTGATGAAGCTAGCAAATGGAGGAAGTGGCTGAGACATCAACAGTGAAAGGAATAAGGAAAAGAAAATGGGTAGAATTGCTAGGGGAAAAAAATGTGATATAAGTGTCAAATTGGATTCCACGACAGTCAGCATTGATGGTATCCGCAGGTCAAGATCCCATGAATATGCTTGCCGCATTAGAGCAAAGAAAACAACAGCAATAGAGAAACCAACTATCTGCATGAACAGAAACCAATAAACAGTTATTTGATATGAATTAGAACCCATATTAAGAGGATGGATATGAAGAGAGAACGAAATAAGCAAATAGAGTGTGTCTGAACCATACATGAACAAAAACTTACTGTTGTAAATCAATAACAACACCTAATTGTACAAAAAGAGAATAAAAAATAAAAAATTGCCAAAGGAAATACAAGTATATATGTTTAAACATATGTTTTACAAAGGCATGAGACGAGATTAGCGGAAATCCGCAAAAAAAAAAAAAAAAAAAATACACATGATAAGAAATTATGAAAATCAGGCATACAGGAATTCATCACCTTTGGACTATACAATAGAAGAAGCCTACTTGCAGCAGCACTGACAGAAATTGAAATGCTACTCTTATAAGAACAATGTGGGTCAACCTGTAGAATAGAGGAGAAATTAAAAAAAAAATTGTCATAGTACCTGCCACTGTCAGTGCCATAATGCTAGATGGTCATAGAAATTTGGTAGTTTAGCATCCCTTTACAAATTGTTATACGTGAAAGTAACCCGCTTTATTTGTTGATGATTTTAAGGGGAAACTGCAGTTCAATGTTATGTATTAGGTGATTCATACCAGCAAAAGAACAATGGTTTTTTCAGATTGCTGAGATGAACTCCAATGTGCTGGTGAGGAATCAACAACAATTGTCTCACTGTTCAAATTTGGATATATATGAAGACCAGATGTATTATCCCAAGCAAGAGCAACAGGTGGGAAACAGCGCAATTTGCAGAGCCCTGAAATACCCAGCTATAGTTATCTAAGATGAAAGGAAAACAGCAAACATTTCAGAAAAATATTCATCACAAATTTATAATGCATTCAACTATATGCAGAAATGAAAATCATGTTCCAGCCCAATTCTTGTCATTAAAGATAAAATATATCTTTTGGTGACATTTAGAGAACTGTTGGAGAGATCTCCCACATCTTTCAACTTCTTTGCTTATATCATTCAAACTTCAAAGAAGAATAAGATCAATTAACAAAATATGAGCTTGTTTGGATACAAGCTTAAAAGTGATTTTTAGAGTTTCTTTACTGGAAATAACTCTTTATGATAAAATAGCTCTGATCAAGATTTGGTTATGAGAAAACTTTGGTGCTTATGGTGTTGTTTTTACCTTGGTGGACTGCATATTTAAAGTTAGAAATAAGGGTCAATATGGTTGCTAAGGTGAAATTCCAATTTTGATCATAGAACAATACCACAAGCACCAAAGGAACACTGCCTGTTTTATCCATTTGTGTAAAACCAATAAATTGCACCAGCCTCACGACATGATAGTGAGGCAAGGTGAAAAAATTTAAGTTCTAATATCAACTATAAAGCTACAATGTTTAAATTTTCTAGCCGCCAAAACCTTGAATAGATCTTGAGTTGCTTTGGTAGTTGAATTGCTGACATTAAATAAATAGGAAAAGAGTAGATAATGATACCAGTTACAAAAGATAAGGAAGATAAAGCAGAAAGTGGAAAACTATTTTGGAGAGAGAGAGACCCTTGTTCCTCAGGATCAAATACATCCAAATGGTTTCTTTTTCCTTAGCTGCCATGACATCCTTCTAAAACATTTTTTAAACCTTTGCAGTGTCTCAATGCCAGTGGTTCTCTCCTATCCAACAAACTCCACTGCCATTCCAATTTCAATTACCACACCATCTACAGCCAAAAGTATCACCATTCAGTGTGTCACCTCCTACTTAACATCCACTTCAATTGAACCCCAACCTTGCCCTTGCTTAACATTCAGTGTTCATCATTTCACTTTGATACTTCTTTCAGTCACTCAGAACCAACTAATCTACTCTTTCACAAACCAACCAACCCAGAAAACCGACCTTTCTCCCTACTAACCTTGGTCCTGCAGAATCTAACATATTGCAGATGCATTCTAAACTGAAAACCTAGTATTCAGCAACTAAGTTACCTCTGTATGTGCTACCGACAAACAGGTTGACACCAATTATACCAAGTGGGCTTCTAATATCCAATTATTGCTTTTAATCCGTACAGATCACATGAATCACCCCAAGTGACCTAAAGTTCATGCACTATTGTGCAGCATGATCAATGCGACCACTTGATTCTCGCTGACGGATATATTTCACCCTTTTATCTCCTGTTTTGGATGCATATGCAAGCAAAGCATTTGCACATCAATGCTGTTCATTGCATCTATAATGGTTGTGCAGACCTTGTGACCCTCCTTTCATCTCAAAAACTTGATGGTACCATGACTGCGCTTCCTTGGGGTAAATTCAGCCAGTTATTACCGACTTGCAAAAGCTTTTACCTCCAGCAAGATGCTAGTATACCATAAAAGGAACTTCAACACAATGGTATTATCTTAGATGAAAGCTAGGGTGCACCAGCTTGATAAGTGGTCCACCATGGTCCAAAAATTTTAACTGTTGAATAAATCTCACTTTAATAGGTTATATGTGCATCTACCACACTATATTACTTCTCTCCACAAAAATTGTAACCCAACTTCTTTCTCACCCAAACCCCCTCCACAAACGCCTGTAGTCCCTCATCCGCACCAGCAACCTAGAGGCAGCATCCACATTGCCCAGCACTTGGTGTTCTCTGTGACACGGCCCACCATGTCAACCTGCAAAACCATCTTTGACCCATGTACAAATCAAAGCCATTCATTTTATTGTGGTAAATTAATAAAAAGGACATAGAAATACAGAGAGCCAAATGATATGCCATTATTATTTGTATACAAACACAAACACGCTAAGCCATTGAGAATTGGTTGTAGCGAGAGTGGGAGGGGAGTCACAACTACCGGTCCTTGTGTGAGTTTCAAAACTGCCACGAAAGTGATTCCATTTATAACCGTATAGCACTTTTCCTTAATCACTAATCCACTGCTACCTTGTGTCTGAGTTTGAGGAATAGTTTAAAATGAGAATGGGTAAAGGTAGAATATTTGCATCAGCTATGAAAGTGAGATTCATCACTTTGGGTAAAGATAGAACAATTGCACTGCTACCTTGCGGTTGTGAAGAGGGTTTGGGCAAGAGAGAAGATGAATTAATATTTTTGTGGGGGGAGTAATATTTTGGTTGATGCACATGTAACCTATGAAAGTGAGATTCATCAAATGGTTAAAAACTTTTGTCCACGGTGGACCACTTGTCTAACTAGTCCACCCTAGCCTTCATCATTATCTTAAACCAATATTCCATTACAATTAACAATTATAATGCAAAATCTAATATTCCATTACAGAAACTCTATCAGACAAAAGAGAAGGCCTAATGCAAAATCTGAAGCACGCGTTATCAATGAATTGCACTTGGAACAGTGTCAGACAGTAGATCCATGATTACGTATATCAAACCCTAAACTGTAGATCAGTGACTACCAATATAAAGGAATATTTGTAAATATCCAGGGGAGCTTTTCATGAATTGTAGAGTTGCATAAGGATTAAGGAGTGGATCCAGACCTCTCAGAAACATCTGAAGCAGAGTATTGTTTTCTTGGTGTTTTTAATACCAGTTCCATCATATGCTTTCGGTCTGAGTCTGAACAATATTATATAAAAATTGATTCTCAAATGTTAATTGATTCACTAACCAGTGACCACTGCTCCTATTATTTTAGACTAATAATCAGGTCTATAATAAGACCCTTAGGAGTTATGAAACACGGACACCTCTCTTGTTCAAACTGTTGAACACGTTTACGACACTGACACTCACCAACACTCTACACATCGGACACTTCTAATTAGGTGTCCAACTAAAAAATTATTTTTTGTTGGCTTGGATACTTTAGCCAACACCTCTACACAACTCACATACTTGAGCCAAAACCTCCTTATGAATGGAAGGACACACTAATATTATTAAAATATATATATATATATATATATTAATTTTTGAACTTTTATACGAGTCACTTTAAAATGGATAACTTTTTATTAAGAAAATAATGTCGTTCACCTTTTTAGGCTTGCTATCATAGAAAATATAGAAGGTCGATTTAAAAAGGTCAAATATACCATCAATTTAGATATTTTTTGTTATGCTGACAAATGAATTTAAAATAATTAAATAAATAATCCCTATAGGGTCATGTAATAAACTGTTCATCTACTTTTCAGACGTCTTTCTGAATTACTAGCTAAAATTCAGTTTTTCACACACTAATCATTTTAATGACCTACTATTTAGCATACATGTTGGATCATTTTCTACAGTGAATACACCATGAAGCCATATAACAGAAAACAAACACACCATAGAAAAAGCTATCACAGAAAATAAAATTCTTAACCTATACTCCAGTTGGTAGTGGATTAGAATTCTTACTACTACTTTCAAGGTCTCCAGCTTCCTCTTCTGGAAGTCCAGAGTTTCTAATTCCACAGCCAACAGTTTTCAAAGACAAAGTAACAGGTAGGAGACCCAAACTGATGGCAAATGATAATTTGACAGCTAAGGGATGAGTTTCTTCCAACAACAAATCCTGCATAACATAACATATCAAAGTTAAGCTTTTGCCTGTGGAAGAAGAAAAAATTGTTCCATTCACTTGCTAGCAACACGATGAAGATTTAGGAAAATGTTTCAACAGCATAATAGCATAATTTCCCTATATTTCTAATTAAATTTTCCATATTTATTTGCAACTAAATAGGACAAGAGACAGAATATTTGGGTATCACTGATAATAGTTACAACATTGTACTTCAGCTATGCTACATGTAAGCATCACAGTAGGCTTAGGTCAATCAGAACAAACTGCTGATGTAACAAAGTTGAGCCTTGCAATGAAAAGAAACTCAACAAATAAATTCATATAAGTGAATTAAACTACAATATAGTCTATAGGTCAGTCAACTTTACATGAAAATAACAACCTTCTGAGAATAGGTAGATTGAAGCATAAACCATGGAGATAACTCTTGATTTCCTTCCACTGGGTTAAAGAACTGTCCAACTGCCATGGATGCTGCTGGCGGGGGTCTTCCTGAAATAGTCTGAGAACCACATTGTCAATACACATATACAAGTATGGAAAACACATTTTCAACCACAAAAACCATACAGAAAAATACATCATTTGTAGGCACTAGGCAGGAAGATTTAATTATTTCAACATCAGTCATCATAATTAGTAAACAGACACATGAAATTACATCAACATAAGAATCTTTAAGATTAGAAAAAGATAATCAATGTGTAGTGATGAACAAAATCCATCCATTCAGATGAAAAGCATCTTTCTAATTTTATATGGAAGGAACTTGTAAGACCAAAAGGAAAGTAACATATAGGGTTCCAGTTCCGCATGGAAATTTTGAAATAAAAAAAGCTTCAAATTTTAAATCAGAAACTCCTTATCAAGCAGACCACAACGGCCTTGGGGAAGAAATGAATCATAAACAATCATAAATGTTTCTGAATACTTCTCAGAGGATATACATTTCTTAATATCTAAAAGGAAATCATTCAGAAGTCGAAATTGTACCGGACGAGGTGCAACTGAGATAGTAAGAAATCTGAAGCCGTGCATATCTTCAGGACCCAGCCAAAATACGGCTGATGGAGGAGCTTGCTCAGTCTGACTGCCAGGTTCAAGCTATTATAATATTGCGGATTATATTATTATGAGTAACCATATCAAGTTAACTTCAACAGACTATTAAAGAACTCAGCAATAGTAATGTAGTACAAAAGATAATCCAAACAAGAAAGAAAAAAGGACTGAAAAGAAGCATAAAATACCTGCCGTGGTGCAGGACCTGAGGGAATGCGCATCATCTTCGATGTTACTTCAACAACCCTATCATTGAGGGGTAAACTTGAAGCAGATTTCCCCTTTTCAGGCCACAAATGAAGTCTAATTCCAGAACAAGGCTCAAGATTGGTGACAAGCACGAAGTGACTTTTTCCATTGGACCCCTACACATCCAGATTAAATGGTTGAGCAATTGCACTGTAGCATGATTGATTATCTATGATGTAAAACATAAAAAGAAATTCGAAAAATTAGGAATTCTTGAAACTAGGAAAAATATTAAAAAAAATTAATTAATCGGACTCCTGAAATAGTCATGTTGATCATGAACAACATTTATTTCTTCCATACACCAATTTAGCAGATATCATCAACGAATTTAGAGAAGATAAAATGTTCTAATAAACACCTTCAAAATTAAAAAAGTCCATTAGAATAAATAATTGAAAGATATACTGCATGCCAGGAAGTTGAGTGCCTAATTAGATGTAATTTTGATAATCTCAACAGCAAATGGAAACAAGTTATTTATGGTAATATCATTATTTTACAATTATTACAGAGAAACAAAGTATTATAATGATATTTTTATAGTTATTACTTAGAACAAAAATTTTCAACATTATTTTTAGAATTTAGTCTTAGAACCTAACTCAATCTCACAAAACTAGCTTATAAGTTGAAGACTGCCCAAGCTTTATAGCCCTATTCTAACTATATCTCTGATCGATGTGGAACTAAACCACCACCCTTGAGACTACAATTAAGGTAGCTCCCAAAGAGATTGCAACTTAGGCGGGTTAGGAGTGACCGTAGCAATTAAGGTGGCTTTCCAGCGCTCCCCCTCATACTCAAGGCTACTGTGCTAGAGCATGGAAAATACAGGGTGGCCCAGCAATAGATAGACTTTAATAACATCGTAAAAATTAGTCTTAGGACTTAATTCAATCTCACAAAACAACTTACATACAAATTGAGGATTACTCAAGTTTTATAAGCTCTATTTTAGCCATATCTTTATTGTGGGATTTCCAAAAATTATAATGGAAATTTTTATGCATCCCCACTAATAATGTCTGAAGCAAAACAATTAAGATTTATAATCTTCTTTCTTAAAAGGAAGCATATGGAATGGCAAAGAGTGCAACATGTGTGATCCTTTGGTCCATGTGATTGAAATGTAATGCTTGCATCTATGAAAGTGTACCTTTGTCCCAGGTGCCACCTAGCCCCATCTCCAACAATCCCAAACACTTAATAGCCCCTATTTATAGTCCCATATGTGTCACCTGCCACTGCATTATAATTTTAGTTTATTTTCTTTTAATATGTATAATATAATCATCTCTTATATAATAAATACGAACTGCTTTCTAATAGTAGTTTTAGGGACTTCTACAAGAGGTTCTGTAAGAATTCTTTTAACTTTTAATTTATGAATTGAATATTAATATTTTAAAATAAACTATAAATAAATAAACAATTTTTTGTTACAAATAAATTTAAAATATAATTTATATGTTCAAAAATATCTATTATACAAATTTTATATATAATTTACATGTTCAAAGATAATATTTATTTATGTATGTAGTTTATTATTAATTAATTATATATAATAAACATGCATGTGCATTGACAGATTAAAATACTAGTTATAATTATATTTGAATATAATTGGAATGGATATAATTATAATTTCTAAAATTATAATTGAATATAATTGAAATTATAAAATAACAAACATTTTAGCATGCACAATACAAGATAATTATTTATTTTATATAACTAAATTTATAATATTTATAAAAAAAAAAAATATATATATATATATTGTATTATAATTAGAATTTGTAATAAGCAAAAAGTTTTGAACATATAAATTATATTTTATATTTATGATAAACAATTTATAGTGTGATACAAAATCATTAATATTGAAAAAAAATTTCAAAAAAAATATTGAAATAAATATGAAAATGATACATTCAAAGAGATAAGAAGTTAAAAAAAATGTCTTAATTGCACTTTTGGTCCCCGTATAATATCAAATCCACAATTTTGGTCCCTCTATTATTAATTCTGCAATTTTACCCCCTCAATTTTATATAATTTGCAATTTTGGTCCTCTCATTTGAATGTTCATCTGTTAAATTGTTAAAATTGTAACATTAGCCATGAGCTAACATTGGGTAGATAACACAACAATTAATATTTACTAATATTTAAGCTAAGTTGCACTTATTTTCTCCTTTTTATCAAATTTTTATCTCATTTTACCACTTTTATGAGATAAAAATGAGAACTAATAGTGAAATTTATTCTAAACATTATTAAATATTAGTTTTCATGTCATTTATTTGATGTCAAATCACAACTAATGCACAATTTTAACGATAAATGGATGAACATTCAAGGAGTGGACCAAAATTTTGAATTTTATATAATTGAGGGACTAAAATTGCATAATTAAAAATATAGGGATCAAAACTGTAAACTTAATATTATAGGCGATCAAAAGTGCAATTTAGCCAAAAAAAAATATGGAAAAATAAGAAATGATATATTAAAAGAGATAAAAGGTTAAAAAATATTGAAATAAATATAAAAATGATGCAAAGGGATAATATTTGAATTTTGAAGATAAAACATATATTTTATTTTGATATTCAGTTACTGCTTACTAGAAAATAGATTATTTGTTTGATATGAGAAATATAAGAGACAGTGGCATGTTATTAAGAGAGTGAAAGTTCATTCCTTCATGAGAGCGTTTGGATGAGAATAAATGAGAGGGGGAGTGGGAAGAGTAGAGCATTTACAAAGCGGATGATTATTATAATTTATGTATGGACAGTGGCCCATTTATAATTTCAACAACTTTCATATTTCATTATATTCCAAGATTTGTTTCCTTGTTCAATTAGGATTCAGAGTCTAGTATTTTGTATAAACAGGGGTTATGCTTTGCATTTTCTAACAAGTCATTGCACACCATATATCAATATTATATTCTATCATTCAATGTTTGTTCTTTCTTTTCCTCCTTTACTTAAATCCCTACAATTTCAGCAGAACTTTTCCTCAATGCATGACAAGTATTTTGGATATCGTATCAAAGAAACAATAAACAAATACCAATTTTTGTATGTCCAACCACCGTCTTCGACCATCCATTGCTAATACAGTCACCTCATTTATCTGAATGTATAGGTCTCTATCAAGGCCCCCATCATTCCAATGAATATTGGCAGGACAAGCAACTGGCCTATGCACGAGAGATCCTGTATCCACGATATAATTTGAATATTGAAGTTTGCACAAATTTGGTAGGTTATAATCCAAATTAACAAAGATTGACATCCATATGCTTCAACAGCCCATAAAGCATAACTTAACTTTATATTTTTAGCAAATGCTTCAACAGCCATAAGCACATAAAGCAGTGCTGGAATGATTATTAGATAATTCCAGAAAGCTTGTCCATGGAGTTTGCAGATAAACTAAGGACCTATTTGGATAGACAACATATGCTTAATTAAGTTTTTATAATCAAAAGGAAAATAGATCAAACTGTTTTTGTATAAATTATAACTCTTTTTCTCAAGTTATTTTTAAATAAGATGGAAACAGCTTATGGGCATATAATAAGCTCTCCCAAACATGTACGCAAGGGTTTATATCATAAGATAAATCCAAATAAGTTGTACATAAGCTATTCCAAATGGACTCAAATACAAGAATTATGAGATAGTAAAACTAGAAACAGCAGCAAATAATACCAGTGACATCTTTTGTATTCTGGACAGGAATGTTTATAGACCGTTTATAAGAGGGTAACTGCATCATCCAGTCGAAATTATGCGATATTCCACTACGCAGCATTCTTGCAAATACTGTAAGTCTCTTTTGAGTATCTGGAAATGGTTGGCCTGTTCTGGAATCTATTAAACTAAGAAGTGTGTGTGACACCTAGAAAAGAATATAAATGATAAGGACCTTATAAAGGAGAACCAAGTCTATGTTCTTGACAAAGAAACCTAAATACTTACTTGGACAACCAATTGATTACACCATAAAATAGCCTGATGTTCCATTGACAACCACACATTTTTCATGGCTGTACTGCTGATCATGAAGCCATGTGTTGGGGGCACAATATTATCAAGTGATGTTAATTTTGACCGTACCTGAAGAAAAGAAAGAACAAAATTAAATCATCATGCCAAGGGATACTAGTTAAGAATGCCCCTTAATAGAGACAATAAGAGGGATGGTATGCATATGCACAATGAAGAAAATTGTTCAAATTTAAGAAAGCATAAAGCAAAATAATCTTCTGAATTGCAGACAAACAAGGCATCTTTCTCTATCAAATATCACTGCTGATAAATCTACTGCATATAGAGGTTAAGGTCAAAACACAGTAACAATACCTGGTAATCATTGTATGCCCCAGAAATAGATACAACTACGACATGAGAGAGCACTGGATCAGACACGTAACGCCCTGTGTTAGTGGTTTGAACCTTATATCCTTCTATCCATTCTGAATTTACACGTGCAAAGTAATGACCCAACGATGGCTGCAATGCCACAGGAGGTGATCTGAATAAAATATATGCATCCCATCAAACATTTAAGCAGTGCATAGAAATGCAATAAGAATAACAATATTAGGCAAAAAACCTACTGATGCGGGGTTGAAAGAGTAAGAATTGTTTCAACTGCTGATTTCCTCAGATGAGGGTGGATAACAGCAGCTCTAGCAACAAAACCTCCCATTGAATGACCAACCAATATCACACTTTTTGGCAAACTCCCAGAAACTGCAGCACCTTCTCTTGTTCGAGCATCATAAGACACTTTATATTGGTCCAAAATCTGCAAGGCAACACCATAAGCATTGAACAGAGTGAGATATTTCAAGAATTACCTACTGAAGAAAAGTAAAGCCAACTGAAGTAAAGCCAGATATTTAAGTACAAACATCAGGTATAGCACCAACTCAAGAAAAGAGTGCATAGCACAGAACTATAAAATCTAAGGTGAACAACTTGAAAACAGAAAAGAACGTTATTCAAAGCATCAACAAAGCCAAGGGGTTTATTTCCTACCATAGGATGGACTAAGACAAATATCACTAAATAAAGTTTTCTTGCACTAAGACATGAGCGACTAAAGGAACATTTGCAGAGCTGAGGGTTTAACTAAGTCTTTCTAACTAGTCACATAATTTATTATTTTAATGATGTTGATAATCAACAATAAGCAACAACAATCTCATAGTATACCATTAGTGTGAACAGGCTGACTGCGCAACAATGGTAACAAATTCAATTCAAAACAAATCAGCCATCTAGAAACTACAAAAAAACTACTCAAATCCAATATTCATTTTCTTCCATTGGATATAAACTAAAAATGATAAAAGCAATACCTTGTGTATAGCATATACAACATATTCAGTGTGCTCTTCAAGAATTGCACCATCCATGGCTGAATGTTCACCTTCAAGATCGACAGCAAACCAGTCCAGCCTGCTGGTATACTGGTTGGGTAATTGGAAACCAGATAAATTTATATCTGCACCTCCTTCTTCAGGTCTTAGGGAAGCTTCTTGGTAAAATGTACGCTCAAGTGGGCCATTCTGATATGCTCTATCAGATTCTGCTGCCAATGACCGCACCTATTATGTGGATAAAAGCAACAGAAAATCTTAATTGAAATATAAAGTTTTGGGAAACAATAGTATGAAAAGTGATGAGTTAATGAAAAATAAAATAATAAAAACAACCAAAAATCATTATCATTATTAAAGTTAGTATTCTAAGTCGTATGGGATCTATGCCATATTTCTCCATTATTTTATTGGCTTTTTCTTCTTTTCCTGGTTTTTAAATTCCACAAATAAAAGGAAAGCCATGTATTCCCTTACCCAAAGGAATTTTACAAACTACAGCTATAAAACCTTTCAAGAATGAATTGAGAGTCAAGTAACCCTAGAATCTAGATCCAAATCAAAAACCTTGGCCAGCAAGTGGGCATACCTCCGGCTTTGAAAAAAGCAAGCTAGATATGCAGATTTTTGTCTATATGCCATCATTTGCTCCCAAACAAACAATAATAAATAAATAAATAAATAAATAACTCAAATGTCTAAGAAGTCATCTTCAGATCATTAAAACAACTTAATCCAAGCAATAACAGTTTCCCAATTTTCAGCTTTACACCACACAATCCAATATTTCTTTAACGTGCTGAAATAGTTCAACTCAGAACAAGACAAGTAACCACAAAACCGGTTAACTTTGACTATATTCGAACAAGAAGAAAGAGGACCTTGCCTGTTTGAAGCTGCCACCATTGCCCGGGATGAAAAGCACAGGCACACCACTAAGCTTCTTAAGATGCTCCTTAAAATCTATCTTTTTCCACCCCTCGTGGTACAAGTACAAACCATACTTGACAGGCGAAATGCTCTCCGATGAGGAAATAGGAATATACGTGGGATACATGTAGGTCATAATACACCCATTCGAAATAGGCTTCAACAAACCATACAAAGCAGCAAGACATATCCCTACAACCACAATAATCAAAATTGCAATCCTAATTTTCGCCTTAAAACCCGGCATTCTCAACCAAACTTTCTACTTCCAAGTCTTCAAATAACTTCAAACAGCGCGCACCAAGAATTTCACCTCAACCAACGCTCAATACCAAAAACAAAAACAAGTGCAGCTGGTTGAAACACAGCTTCAAACTACACGAACACCGAAGCGCCGTAGTTAAACACTCAAACTAAACACCACACACCTAACAAAACAAAAACTCTTCCACGCCGGAACCAGATCGCGTTCGATCGAACTTCAGTTCCAGCCGAAGATTCACATAAGCATCGATCAATCGAACGGCTTCAGTTGCTAAAACAGATCAAATTTCCAGAACTAATAAAGGAGATCTACAATTCCACAAAAACACGAGTGAGCAACAAAAGAAATTCCACAAACACCGAAAAGCATAAGAACTTCAATACAGCATGAAATCAAAGTATCATAAAAAAATAAATAATAAATAAAAAGCAGAGAAAACTTCAATATCACCGCACAGATCTGAAACAACTCCGGCGCCGCCGCCGCCGCAAACGGAGGAGAAGTTAGAGAGAGAGAGAGAGAGAGAGAGAGAGAGAGGTTACCGTATAAGGAAAAGCAAAGCGTGGAAGATGAAGACGGAGGGTGCAACTGAATTTTTATTTTAAATTTCGTTACTGGAAGTTGCGACGAGAAAGGAAGCGCGAGGGAGAGCGGGCGTCATTGTGTGACTGTGACAGAATAGATAACGGAGTTGACGCTTCCGTCCAAAACTCGTGTGTTGATGATTAACAACATTCTAGCTTTGTATGAGATCTGAGTTTGTTTGTTTATTAAATGCGAGATCTATCCCTCGCTCCAATCATCATGTACTAGTATTAAGCTTTGAATTTTCGCTCGAACGTGGTAGGAATAGAATCGTCGTTGAGGAATGTATATGAGGAAAAAAAAAAAAAACAGCACATGATGCATTATGTTTGTTCATTCACATATTCATTGGGTATTTTCCCATTTTTATACATTTTTCTGTTTTAAAATGGGGTTTTCGATAGTAATAATTCTCGAGTGCACTTATTTGGTAAGAAAAATTTGACTCATAGATTTGTTTTTTTTTTATTTTATTGATTTAGGTTCATTTTGGTAAGTGCACTTATTTGGTATGGAGTGGAAGAGTTTGCACTTGTTTTGTTTAGTAAGTGCAATTATTATTTGACATCAAATGTGACTTAGATGAGAGAAGGTTTGGATCGTTGATCGGTCTTTGTCAGATGTTGTTCAGTAATTATCATGCTTAATTTGGTGATCTTACCCAATAGTTTCCTTATCTTTCTCTTTTCTAAATAATAACATAGGTGTTACATGAAAGCTCGATCATGTTTAAGGAATTCAAACATAACTGAGAAACTCCACAAAACACAAAAAAGGAGGAAAAAAAAAATTGCATCTCAAACATGACTGAGAAACCCCACAAAACACAAAAAGGAAGAAAAAAAAAATTACATCGTCTTTTCATCCATATATTTTGTAAGTATTGGATTCGTGAAGATGTTTTACTTTTAAAATACAATAATAATATATATAAAGATAGAATCTGTGAAGACCTCTCAAAAAAAAAAAAAAATCTGTGAAGAGATTTTATTTTAGAAAATAAAGCAAAATAATAATTATTAATTAAAAAATTAACAATTAATGTTATAGTTAATTTTAGATTTTATTATACATAAATTTGATTTTATCATGATTATTAATTATTATTTTTTAATAATAATTATGAACCACTTTATTCTCTAAAATATATTTCTTATAAATCCATTTTCTAATATTGAAAAGCTACGTTACAAAGAATCTCGATTAATATTCTCATAACAATACTCCACTCGTCCGTCAAAACCGAATCAAAGTGTTGATTAATATTTTTTTTATATAAAAATCAACTTAAAATATCTCTTGCATTAATTATCCTTTTAATATTATTAATATTTAAAAAATAATTAAAATTATTTTTTCTTAATTTAATAAGTAGTTGATGGAATAAGTGTCTCATTAATATTATGGTTAATTTTGAAAAGCAAATTAGGACAAAATTTAATATTATCAATTAAATTAATTAACTTTATACTTTCTTCACGATTATATTTTAAGAATTTTACACACGAATTAAGAACAATAATAAAAATATCACTTTTAATATAATTTTATTAGAATTTTCTCATTCTCCGAAAAAAACAAACATCATTTTTAATAATATCCGATGAATAACTAATGAAAGATCAATAACTAACGAAAGAGTAAATTAGAAAGTGAAAAATAATTAATATTATATTGAAAATGAGAACATTAATTATTTTAAAATAACTTTTTAAATGTTAAAACTGCAGTAAACTTAGAAAATAAAGAATAACAAATAAAGTTGTTAGATATCTACGTCTCTTAGACTTCTTAAAAAAGTTTAGTTCCCTAAACATGTTGAAAGAAGTTTAATTCCTTAGATAAATGCACAGTTAACACTTTGATTTGTTTAGAAAAGTGTTTTATTAATAACTCAATCCATTCTTTAAAAAAAAAATATTGTGTATCTTCATTGATAATAATTAAAAATAATTTTTTATATATTTTTTCAATTTCTCAAATGGTCGAAAGATTTTCAGAATTAAAGAAAAATATTTATTAAAATTTATAATATATATAACCACGATAATCTAATTTAGTATATATATATATTTTTAAATAATTTTACTATTAAATTTTTAAATAATAAAAATAATATCAAAAATTAATCATTCTTACAAATTTGAATTTAAGACCTTAAAATTTAAAAATCTAATATAACATCAATTAATATAAAATATAATAATTTTTTAAATATTTTTATTAAATAAAATATAAAAACAGGGAATGTCTCAATCTTGTATTAATATATTTATAATGATATTTTATTATCTGAAATAAAATTTTCTCAAAAATAACTAACAATGACATTCTGATAAATACATTATTTCCTTTTCCTCTAAAATCTTGGCAGAAATCTAAACTATGATCCAACGAAAAAAAAAAATCCAACGAAAAGACAAACTTTTTTTTTTTTTAATAATTTGGAGAATGGAATTCAAACCGCCTTATTTTGTCTCAAAAAAAGGATTTTCATTTTTTATTCCATTTTTAAAGAACTGATAAAACGAAACAATTTCAATTTTTTTAGTTTTCTACATCTACAATTTTTAAGTTGCAAAATGAATTTGTTTCTAAATATTTTAAAAGAAAAGGCAAAATGGATCATCAAAAATGTTCTATTTATAAATAAAAAAATATCCAAATTTATCTTTATTAAATTTAAAAATAAATAAACTAAGTAACAGCAAAAAAAGTTCTACAATATGAAAGAATAGTCGGATAATTTCCAAGTTAACCATTCCAAAGCATATAGAAAAATTAAAAGAAAAAAATGAAAAAAGAATAAATGAAAATTTTACTTATGATAATAAAAGAGTATATTGGATCAAAATTTTAAAGTCTATTTTATATAAATTAAAAAAAAAAAAAAAAAAAGTTGTGTGCGTAACACTCTATCTCATTTGTCATAATATATAATTAAAAATAAATAAATTAAAATACTTCATAACATAAAGAACTAAAATCTATATCGTAGCGAGAATCATATTGTAAATAAACTCAAAAACATAAACTGAATTACAAAGAAATTAAAAATCATGGTCCTCCAATTAAACAACATAAAAAAGATCCCTAATCTAGTCCTAACTACATCTTGATGTCATATGTCCTATTAGAGCAACCCAACATGAAGGTTAAGTCTCATCGCCAACATCTTTAGCATTAAGTTGATGATCAACCTGCATAAACCACAAGAGCAACAACAACAAAAGTAAGGGAGTGAGAAACATCTTACTTTGACTTGTGTCGTAATCCAAAAAATTTTGATCTTACCCACAAATGGTTTAGACTTCCATTTTAAAATTTTCATCAATTAGGGAATGCCCAGACACCAAACTAATCCCCAACTTATAGTTTTGAAAAAAGTTTATGGAGTCGTCACCGATGTGTTGTTCAAAACATCAAAAAAAAAAAGAAAAAAGAAAAGGAGTTTTAGAATGCCAAAACAGCCTTTACAACCAGAATTTGGGCTTGGGGATCGATTACGTGTAAGGAAGGTGTTAGGCACCCTACAACGCCCTGAATCAGCACCCTATAATGAAACTAGCGCGATTAAAAACAATAAGTTAAATATTGAGTTCCCTTTTATTAATGATTATTTACATATTTACACAATTTTCCCTAAAACGTCTGCATGATTGCTTTTGTTTATAATAGAAGGAATAGATAGTGAAGAAAATACCGCTTAGAACAAGCTTTTATAAATACTTCCAATATAGTAAACTTTAGGCACTTTTTGGCTACCTTTCACACTTCAAAATACCTCACCAAACTCAAGAAATACAAAAAAAGAAGAAAATAAGTGTTTAGACTCTAGAGAGACTTTTAGAGACTCAAATTTTCGACCTTTTAATATTCTTAACGAGCCTTCTATTTATAGGCATGGAAATCCACTAGAACGGGTCATTCTAGACCTTTTTATTTACATACAAAATTTGAAACTAGAATAGCTCGTTCCCAAAGCGGAACGGCCCATTCCAGATTTGAATTTTGCATGTAATAGACTAGGTTAGAACGGGGCATTTTGACCTAGGGTTACAGGTTTTTTTCTAAGCTCAAAACATTCCGTTCTAGTTTGGGAACGACCCGTTTTGGGTTACTAATTTTGGCCCTCTGCATTTTGGACCTCTAGGTGTCTTGTTAGCCTGCTCTGGTGTTGTTTTCAAGCCTTCGGGAACTCCTTCTTCATGCTAAAAGTCTATTTCTTTGTTTATGTGCCCCCAGACAAAATTAGGTGTCTATAGATGCCCCTCTTTACTTGTCCTTTTAGATAGCTATGTGTTGTTTTTCCAAAGGCAAGTACAGATGTGAACATTTCATCTGGGTCTTCTCTTTGTCTCTTCATGTAGGGGATTCCACATCGTTTCCTTTGGATAGATGGGTTTGCCTGTATCCTTGCTCTTCAAAGTAGCTGAGTGTTGGGTTGCATACTCCATTGGATAACAAGGATGACAAACTGTACCACCTGATCTTCTATCTTCATGTAGATGCTCCATGCCATTTTCTCTAGTTGCTTCTCTATGATAATAAGGTGAAGATCCGAGTCTTCTCTTTTGCTTTGATACTAGGTGCCTCCACATTGTTTCCTTTAGGTAGATAGGTTTACCTGTATCCTTGCCCTTTGGAACAACTGAGTATTAAGTTGCGTGCTTCAAGGATGGTAAAGTGTACCATCTAAGCGTCTGGCTTGGTGTAGAAATTCCATGCTACTTCTACTTATTTTGTGATAGTGTGATTTTATTTATTACTCGCTGAAGAAGGAGTATATTATGAGCTCAACCTCTCCAGGCTGGATTGATATATTAAGGCTTCAGCCGACCTATGGTGAGTGTGGCTTGTTCCAGCCTCTCCAAGCTGAATTGGTATTAAGGCTCCAACCGATCTTTTTCCGAGTTGTGTATTGGTTTTAAGGATCCAACAAACCTTTTATGAGCTTGTACTAGTTTTGAGGGTCCAGCATCCTTTTTCAAGCTTGTATTGGTTTTGAGGGTCCAACAACCTTTTCCAAGATTGTACTGGTTTTGAGGGTCTAGCAACCTTTTTCGAGCTTGTACTGGTTTTGAGGGTCCAACAACCTTTTCCAAGCTTATACTGGTTTTGAGGATCCAGCGAATCTTTTTCAAGTTTGTTCATTGTTGTGCGAGTATTATGATGTCTCTCCAAGTGTCTCCATTGGGGATGACATGTGTGACAAAGGTTTTGGTATTGTTCCTACCATGTGAGTATTGTGATGCCTCTCTAGGCATCTTCTAGGGACTGGTTGGT